TGGGGTAGCAGCTCTGTTCTTGGTGGGAGCTGGCACAGCACACCTGGTTGTGTCCTCAGCGGAAGTTTGGTTGGAACGATTTGTGGGCCCCTCCTAGGCGAGGCCCGGGACTCCCACACCACCAGTCTCCACTGGGGGAAACTTCCTGGGATTCCTTCTCACTGGCCTTTTCTATGTGGCCCTATTCTTTCAGTTAGGATGCAGGGTCTGTGTGTGATCTGGCTGGTGAAGACATGAGTGTGTGTGTGCACACATGCATGTATGTGCATAGCGTGCACGTGCTTGCTGCTTTCCCAGTGCAGGACCCTGTTCCTGCGAAGCTTCTTGTTGGCACCTGTGGCTGCTCCAGCCTGGGAGGCCGATTGGACCTCACGGCTGCCCATCCACAGAGGGCCCAGCTGGCCAAGCCAGGCTGAGCCCGTTCTGTGATATCCCCACCCCCATCCACTAGGGGTTTGCTTGGAGGTCTCCCCCTTTTCCTAAGACAGAGTTCCGGCTGGGGACAATGTGGGGGTGGCAGTGGGGCGGGCCAGGTGCTGAGGGTGGACAGGCATCGTGGGGTCTGGGGCTGAGTTGCCTGGCATGCTGCCTCCACTGCCTGCCTAAGCCAGCTGTGCCTGGGCTGAGGGAATGAACCGGCCGGCGTCGGGGGGATGCTTCCTGAACAACCAGTTGGTCCCACCAAGGCCTGGTTTCTCTGCTCCATCTCACCTCTCCTTGTGCCCACTTTACAGCCTGGCCTCCCCCTCAGAGCACAGGCAGGAAGGCCGCTTGCCAGTGACACAGGCCTGTGGGGGACATGAGGCCTCAGGGACCACGAAGGACATGCTGTGGCCTCGGCTCGGAGGCCTTACACACTTTTTAGTCCAGCACATGTGAGCCCTCAGCTCCACCTGGAACCACAGAGCCTGCAGGCAGGCAGGTCCAGGGTTGCCAGGGAGCCGACGCCCCAAGGAGCCCAAAGCCAAGGGCCCAGGTCCACACCTGTGGGCCAGAGTAGGTGCCTAACGGCAGCCTGTGATTCTGTCCTTTCCTGTCTCACTTCCTCACGCCTCTTGGTGTTGCTCAGGGGCCTCAAACAGGGTGGGACCATGGTCAGAAAGGCACACCTGTGAGGCACCTGTGCGGCACACCTGTGAGGCACACGAGTCAAAACTCTTGTGAAGCACACCTTGGAGGCACCTGTGCTCAAGGTGCCATTTAGATTTATAAGCGACTTCTCTGCATGTGGAGCTGGGCCGTGGGAGCAGGCACAGGATTAATCCTCCACAACTCTCCTGTTAATTTGGTGGCATTGTGAGGTAGGACTTTCAAGTTAGCCAGTGCGTCCTGGATCACCCAGGACAGGAGTGTGTGGTTGGTCACCAGTTGTTATGTGAGGAGGACTCTGGCTTCTTCCCCAGACTAGAAAGAAGGGGTGATATGTTCTGAGATTAAAATCAACCATCAGGTGGAAGTGGGGAGTATTAGGCCCAGGGCCAGAACCTAGCACCTAAGCAGAGAAGGGGCAGCTTCGTGATGTCTGGGGTCTTAGGAAGTGCCTGGGTGCAGGAAAGGAAGGCAGGGGCGGCCCGGATGCCTGGCGGTGACCTCCACCCCGCTCTGGGCTGCCTGGCCTCAAGCTTCCTCGGGCTGTGTCCTCACCTGTTTTCATTGAGGAGGGTGATGGAAGTGTACAGCAGGTGCCAGTGGACCCCAAAGGGGACAGCACGTGAGGGCCAGGGTGGGTATGCAGGAGGGGCCCACAGGAGGCTGGGCCTGGACAGACGTAATGTCAGACAGACAGGAGAGAGGGTCCTGGCCTGGCTGTTTGGGAGGCATCCCTCACTCAGGACCACCTGCTCCAGGGCCCTTCTCTGAGGTGCCTGACCCCACAGTGAGGGGCCTGCAGGCCGGAAACACCCCACTGCTGGGGACTCAGAAGGCCAGCCACATGCAGGGCTTGGGCAGGGCTGGTGGCACCTGGAGGACTCCTCCAGGGGTCTCCATCACTCCTCTGCCCAGGTCTGGGCTTGGCCAGGGGATTGTGCCTGGACCAGGATGTCCCTCTGGGTGTGGCACACAGGGCAGGAGGCGGAACATGTGTTTCCCGAAAGCCTCGGTGTCTGGTCCATCCAAACAGCACCGTGCTGACCCAAGGGCACCCATGGGTGTCTGGGAGTCAGACTCCAGACAGAGTGAGGCCCCAGAGCGCAGGGCTGCCTGCTCCACATACATCCATGCCCACTTTCTTAAAGGTACCCTAGGCCCCTTGATGTCTCCCCTGTTTTACTCCAGGCTCTGGAGACCTAACTCCCATAACGGGGTGACAGTTGTTACTCACAGAATCCCACAGACAGGTGCAAACACTCCCATGCACCCTTGGCCAGGACAAATCCAGGTGCCCTGGTGGCCTGGTGGGGGAGCTTTGTGTGCCTGGAAGTGGGGAGCCAGGAGGCTCTGAAGGGGAGCAGGCACTGGCACAGTGGTCAGACCTGGAGGAGAGCCCTGGAGACCGGTGCTTCTGCCAGCCAGACATTGCTGGCCTGGGAGCCTTCAGAAGTGCTCTGGCTCTGTGGCCTGTGGGTTTGTCGTTTTCCAAGAGCGAGGGGGTTGGTCGCAGGCTTGGTGCGGGGTGAATCTCAGTCTGCACTTGGTGGGGGCTCTTGTCTGAAGGACACGGGGCATCCATCCTCATGTGTCCCCCACCTTCTGCAGAGGTTTCCTCTTCTAATGCTGTGGACTTCTGCGTCTCTGTAAACAATTGATGAGGCATGGAGCGTGGTGGTGGTGGGGGTCTTGTCCTTGGAAACCAGGACAGAGGGCCCAAAAGGCTGCTGGAGGGCCGGGGATTTACTCAGTGGTTCCACCGCCTGCCTTGCAAGTGCAAGGTCCCGAGTTTGATCCCCAGGACCAAAAAAAAAAAAAAAAAAAAAAAATGGCTGCTGGGGAGAGTTGGGTGTGGGACAAGGTAAGATGAGGCTTCCATTTTTCAAGACGAGGACTTTGACTTCTTTCTTTCTTTCTTTCTTATACAGGGTCTCACTATGTAGTTCAGGCTGGACTTGAACTCACTATGTAGCTCAGGCTGGCCTCAAACTCCTGGAGATCCTCCTGCTTCAGCCTCCCAATGGCTGGAATTACAGGAGTGTGCCGCCACACCCGGCTGAGCATTTCAGCTCTGATTTCTTTTCAAACTACCAGAATTTATTGCTGGTTTAAAATGAAGATAAAAATATAAAAGGAGAAAAAAATATAAAAGGAGGCAAAATAACCACATGCAATGGTCTGTTTGCTGGTAGCTCTGAAGGAGGTGGTGGGGCTCCAAGGAGGATGTGGGCCAGGAAAGAAGAGGACCTGAGGGTGCAGTGGGGACCCCTGGGCCCTCTGTCTTGAGTAGCCGGGAATAAGCGTGATGGCAGCCCCAGGGCATAGAGCCACATGGCAGAAGGCCTTCATGTCACCAACCTGAATTTTGCTGAAAAAAGGAAAATTTGGTAACTAAAGGGCTTTGAGATTAACTAGCATACTTCACAGTCAGGGTCTTGGTGCAGCAGTGCGTGCGTGTGTGTGTGTGTGTGTGTGTGTGTGTAAGAAAGTATGTGCTCACTGGAACTTGTAGTCAACAACAGACCCACCTGAAGCCTTGAAGGCAGTGATCAGCTCCGCATCTGTGGTCCAGCGGCTTCACAGTGTGGCCATGGGGCTGATCTCTGTCTGGGGCAGGGTGGGGGTGGGGGGCTCCATCCCTACCCCGCTGTGCTCAGGAACTAAGGAGCCCCTCGTTTCTTAAAATATTTTTATTGTGGTAAAGAACACAACATAAAATTTACCATTCTAACCATTCTTAGGTACGATTCAGCTGCAGGAAGAATATTCACTTTGTTGTGTGTCTGTCACTGCCAGAGCTTTCCACCCTGAAATCCAGCCCCAGCCTGGGCACCACCAGCTCCTCTGTACAGCTGATTGTGGCAGCACCTGGTGCATGAGGCATGCAGCACCTGTGCTCTGTGCCTGGGTTATTTTGCTGAGCACAGTGTCCTCAAGGCCATCTGCTCTGTGCTGTGGGTCAGACTCCCACTCCTCCTCAAGGCTGAGCAATACTCCACAACACAGCTAAATCACAGCTTGGGGACTCCGTCAGCCCACTCTGCACACTTGGGCTGCTCTGTTTTAGCAGTGGGAAACAGTGTGCGTGAACTTGGGTATCAGGTGTGCTTTGAGCCCTGTGTGGACAGTTTGGTGACAGAAAACTGCATATGTTTTTCTGCAGCTGTCAGAGAAGAGAGGACGTTTCCTCCTGGTGTGGACAGGCTTTGTCTCTTCCCAACCAGCAGAGCTGGAGGCTTTGAGGCTCTTGCAGGAATCCGCTCATGAACACCAGGAGGGAAAAAGACGGATGTGGGAAGCCCAGATTTGACAAAACATCAAAGAAAAAGGCACACAAGCATCAGGGCAGCGGGAATGCAGGCTTCGGTCCTGGTGAGACTGAGGACGGCGCAGGCGGAGGCCCGGGGTCCGGGCTCTGGAGGAAGGGCAGTCCAGCCCAGTGACGGCAGCTGAGGAGGGGCCTGGGGAGCCAGCCCCAGGGCCTCGGGAGGTGAGGCTGAGCGAAGGCCTTCTGCTCTGTCCGGGGTCTGGGCCTGGGAGGCCCTGCAGGGCAAGACTGAGACAGCGAGCGCTGAGAGGCCCGCGAGTGCCCGGCGCACCGGGGCTGGAGAAGGAAAGGCTTGCTCTTGGGTGAAGGACTGGGGGACACACGGTGTTGCTGCTGGCTGAGGCTCTCGATCGGATTCGCCGGCGACTCTAATGCTGGCTCCCTGGCCTCCTTCCCCGCCCGGCCCCCAGGGCGAGGCTGGGAGACCTGTAAGTGGCAGCAGCACCCTCCACGTGGGGCGGCCACCTCTTGGCACAGCAGGGCTAGGAAGTCCCTGTGGAGGTGGCTGCCTGGCCCCTGGGTCCCGCCTGGTCCCTCCCCCAGGCAGTTTGGTCAGGCCCCAGCTCGGCCAGGAGGCACAAAGGGCATGGGCACCACTGCCACCTGCTTGCCCCCGGGTGTGGAGGCTGCTCCTGCTCACGGGAGCAGGACCCCTCTGTGGGAGCCAGGCCCCCAGCCTCACTGGGACCACCCCGGGTCCCTAACACCACACAGTGGGGCCCATGTCCCCCCTGAGTGCGGATATAGGGCTGGAGTTGGGAGGGAAGACACAGCAGTGGGGACCTGGAAGTGCACAGCTACCCCTAGGACCCCCAGGAGGGCGAGATGGCAGAGTCAGATCAGGGCGGTCATCTTGAGGATTGTGAGGGGGAGACTGAACTGCTGGTATGCCACATGGGCCTGGGGGCACCATGCTGGGCTCTAGGCTGCTGGAGGCCATTGTGCCTGTGAGCTGAGCTACTTGGGAAAGATGGGCTTCCGACAAAGCTGGGTCTTGCTGAGTAGCCAACAGCATTTGCAAGCGCAGGCCTCTCCTCAGCTTGGCTGGGGGCCAATACATCCAGAGCTCTGGAGAAGAGGAGTGAAGAGGCAGGTCAGGCTCTTCCCAGAGCAGACATGGACTGCTGTAAATGGGTGCTGAGCAATGCCCAGGGTGACCAACCTGTGACTAGGGGAGTGTTCTGAAAGCCAAATATTCTGGCTCAGAGGATCAGCTCCTGCGCAGAAACCTGCACTGAGGGTGAGGTGGCCTCTGGGCCTGGGGCTGTGGTGAAACTCTGCCACCTGCTCCATCGAGGGCCCTGCAGCTGCCCACAGGCATCTGACCTGTGGCGTGGCTGAAGGGAGGTGGTCAAGGTGAGAGAGCCACTTCTAACTGGCCATGGTGTGGATCTGTCCCATCCTTACTCCTTATCTATAGAAACATCACATCCCCAGAGGGCGCTTCTTATGGCCCAAATCCCAGAATGAGGGGCTACATACCGCCCCCTTGCACCTGCAAAATGTGGGCTGACCAAGGGGTGACTTTGGCTGTGGTAAGCCATGAGCACCTGGTCAGCCCCATGCCAGTTGTTGACTTATTTTTAACCTCAGATTTTGAGGGTTGAGTTAATTCTGATCCCAGTTCCTGAGACATTATCATCTTTTGCCCATCCAGTGGCCCCTCATGTCCAGCTGTCTACCCATCTGTCCATCCATCCATATTCCTTCTCTCAAGATGTGCCGTGGCTCCCAGCCTGGAAGAGGCTTCTGGGTAGGCGTGCCACAGCTCCCAGCCCAGAGGACACTTCTAGGTCAGTGTGCCACAGCTCCTAGCCAGCAGGAGGCTTCCGGGTAGGCGTGCCACAGCTCCCAGCACAGAGGAGGTGAGCCGCATGGGTGCCAGGAACACCCCCCACTCCCCCTGTCGAAATGAGAAGACAGGTAAACAAGCCTCAGAACCAGACTTCCAGATCACCTATAGCAACCCCAAAGGGAAATGAGATGGAACAATCTGATACTCAACTACCTGGACTCCCTTAACTGGCAACAAAAGAGGATCTGGAAAAAATGAAATCAGAAATAATTTCTCACATAACAGCAAAGATTGTGC